AGACCTATCAAATCAGTCCACACTTTGCAGACCAGAAAGGACTACTGCCATATTCTCAAAGCACCAAAAACCAGCCTAAAAAGCCCTGCTTCCTGCCCTGTGCTAACACACACACAGAGCTCAAACCATTTAACCAAGGCAAAGCTTTCCTGTCTGCAAACATTAGCTCTTTCAGTTTCAAATTCAGCATGGGCAGAAGCAGCAGTGCCTATAAATCAGGGTAGAAACTTTCCCAGGAAAGATCTGCTAAGTCTGATGATGATCCTGGGAAATCACACACTGAGGGATCCACTGGCCAGAGAGGGAGAAGGAGAATGACAAAATCATGAGGAGGCACTGATGCTAAGAGGAGTTTACAGACACAATACTATGTGCCCACACAGAAAGTTTACCATTTAAAAAGTATCGATATTTGCACCCATGTAACACACAACTACTGTTGTCATAGGCAAGTATAAAAAACAGTTCAATACCAAGCTGTTAATTTCAACATCCTTCATTTTATTACCATTTTTACAGTATTTACTATCAGGGCTTCAGGCAGTCATGTTTTTCTATAATTTTGTCATTGTAACATAAAATCACAACAATTGATTTAAGTCCCGCATCATAGGTTTACAGACTGGATTCCACTTTCAGCAGGAAAGCCCCACACAGAAATCAGCATATAAATTTAGAACTTGTGCAGGTTAGTGGCACTCTGAAAAATAAAAGCTAGACACGATTCCAGTATGGGGGAAACTGGAATGCTTTATTGAACGCGAGAACACAATTTTAAAGGTATTGGGGCTGGACATGTTAATGAAGGGGACAACCTATGTTAATTAAGGAGTTACACAAGGTTTTACTGCGATTTCCAAATAGTTAATTTTTCTTCAAGTAGGATTACATGGGGGATAGAGGGATTACAGAGGTTTAGACATGGTTTTAACAATCATCTCAAAAAGTCCTTTCTTAATTTTGCTTGGAGCCAGGTTTATATCTCAGGGTTGCACATCAACAGGTTTCAGGACAAGGTTCCAAATTTCTTGAATCACGAGATGTTTGTCAGCCTTGTTTTCCAAGGTTTGTGATTCAAATTTACCAAGCCTCCTTTTGATGAGAGCTGGTTTGGGGCTCCTACACAGGTTTTAAATAAAATTAGGCAATGAAATTAACTCTCATACTCAGCAATAAAAAGACAGTTTGAATACAGTATCAGAAGGGCAAAAATCCAGAGACATAGTAAGTTATTCAGTTTGCTGGCCATGCTTTGCAAATACTTGTATATATAAAGATATTGCATACAGAGAGCATGTATTTTCTGATGTAAAATGTGTTTAATATATGAAATCTCAGCACAGTAAAACTTGATAATTGTGAAAAAATCCCTGACCAAGAAGATACCATTCTTTAGTCCTGGTGCTATGACTTAGGTTTTTGATGGTATATGGAACAGGTATATCACTAAGATTGGATATAGCAAAAAGGCAGATTGAAATTTTATATATAAGCTTTAATTTGCAATAAGAAGTGGTTAAAAGGTGTAGCCACAGATTCTTTCCTTATCAAACATTCATTTAATATGCTATTTTTTTGGTAGATCAAATAGCTGTGGAGTGTTACTTTAATGACCAAAATGACATTTTTTCCCTGCTGATCGTTTCAAGCTATCAAATTCAAATAACATTTTGTTACTCTGAAGTTTTCCCGGTGTCTTCTCAAAGGCAGTATACAATGACTTCTTGTTGAAAAGATTAAATGTAACATTTTTCAATCTCTCTTAAGATAATTCTTTGAATTCAGAGATGTACCAATGCACCTGACCAAGCTGTCAAAAAAGCATACTCTGCAGCTCATGCTGAACATGAACAGATCCCAACCTGGAAGGCTATTTGTACAGATACACATGCACAGAAAACCAGCCAAATTGTTCCAAGAAGGCTTGCGTGAAGTCAATTTGCATGATGTGCAGTGATACCACATCCTATGATATGATTAGGATTGATCTGAGGGATTTCTTTAAAAAGAAAAAGGCCCTAGATTCAAGGAAAAACTATTACATTCTGTATTTAAGTCACCTAGCCTAGATATTCCCCAGATCCCACCATCTACTGTGGGAATAAGTTTTGCAATGTGGATTTCTTAAGAGGTTAAAATTCAGATACAATTAAGCATTGTTCAGACAACACACACAGAGAAATGTATAATCAACTGAAATACAAATGGCTGAAGTGCAAGCATCTTACTGATCTCTCATGCTGTTCAGCCATTTACAGAGTCTCTTAAGCCAAATTCACCAGCACATACAAAATGTTATTCATTTTGGTAGAGGTATGCTCAATTACTATTTTGGACAGAAAATAATTTTTTCCTCATATTGTAACAGATGGGAGCATTTACCTGGACAGCCTCAACAAGTACAGAAATTTCTGTTTTCATGACTGTTCTCTGAAATTTTGGTGTGAAAGATTATCTGGTGTTTGCAGACAGATGTCTAAACTGGTGGGAACTGAGTCAGTTAAAGTGCAGAGAGATGAGTGCCAGTGCTCCAGCATGTTTTCATGCAACTTTCTCAGTAATTTTGATAGATGATCTGCAGATTCCAAAGTGCATGAAAACACGCATTTGCAGAGGTGCAGACAGTACTGTTTCCTCCTTCTCTCTAAATTTTCTTTTCCCCATCCTTTATACTTCTTACTCAGAATGTTATTCTTCCCCCATCCATTATTCTTCACTGCACATTTTCCTCTTTTAATATTTTGTAATTTTTTTTAGTTACTTGCATACCATTAGAGAAAAAGCCAGCTCCAGAGAATTCAACCAGTTTTCTTTTCTTAAAATTTCAATATATCAAACCCCACCTGCAAATTGTGTTCAACACCCAGTAGCATGACCTCTTACGCAGGGTCTCTGTGGCACTGTACTACACAAGACTATGCTCTGGTAGAATCCTGTGTCTACTAGGACTTGATTGAGACCTTCAAGCTACATATTCTACAGCAGAGCCATTTTTGTAATCACCTCCAGAAAACTGGGTTACCAGCTATTGGTACCCTTGGATAATGTCTCTCCAGGCTCATAAAACCATTACACGACTTTGAGACACTGCACGCCTTCATAGCAGTCCAGCAGGCAAAACAAGAATCTAGCTTTGATCCCAGGAGACTGCAATTCAATAGTGGTGAAGCTATTACGACACAAGGCTCAATACCGGTTTACCACATCTGTACAAGTGGTTAAGGGCAAACCTGCTCTGCTTGTACTAATATTAATATAACATGAAGTTGTCTAAACCAGAATCCAAAAGCATGCCTACAACTCTTGTTGCCATATCTGAGCAAGGTTTCATTATCTGAGTTGCCAAATTCAGTTTCTGTGTGGATCTACTTGAACTGGAAGGCATATAAACTGCAGCTGAGGGTCTCACTGCTGCAATTGCCCTCATTTCTACACTAGCCAAACATTGATGACTATGTCTACAAAAGCTGTAATTGTAGCTCTCCCTTGCATCAAGGAACCTTTTGGTTCCTTGCCTATCATGGCACTAACCTCCCACCAGCTGCCTTCATGACATGCTTCAATCTGGAGCAAGTAGCAAAGATCACACTGCTGCTAGTTATTATCACTCAGGTGCCTGTGTGCAATACTCATCACAGAGGCTCAAAACCTCAGTAAAAAGACCACTTGAAATTAAGTGATGCTTTGCCCATTGTTTTAAACTGATGTCATACTACCCAGACATTGAAGCACTCCTGGTTGTAAAAAGTGCAATCATCAGAAAACAACTTAAGAGAAAAAAAGCAAAGCAAACCATTTAGTGGCTGTCTTACTTTATGAAGTAAGGCTGCTTTCCTCTACAATTGTACAGTAAACATTAATACACTCAATAGCTAGTGCTATCTCCAGAACTGCTTTGTTTCCAATCTGTTTTACAATTTAGAACATACTTAAGTTTCCTTCTGCTCTGTTAAATTGATTTCGTACAGCATGAGGGGATGCGTTCTGCTTCTGACTATAGATTTGAAGAAATACTACACATCTCCTTACACTGAGTAAAAATCAATTTTCTACCTGTAGGTGATGAAACTATTTTTCACCCTTGCTGAACAGTCATATATCTCATAAGGCTTGAAATCATAAACTGGTGCGTTTCACCAAAAGCAAAAATAAAAGATATTCTCTTTAAATATATTATTTTACATGTGACTGAGGTGTTCCTTTCCAAAGGTTATCTGTAGTTTTATCTACCGTATTTAATATTAAGCTTTCTTCTCTTCACTCTTGTATGCTCTGCTTTTATCAAGAGACTTTAGTCTTGGTAAAACCCCAAATCCCATTACATCTGAAAAATGCAAAGCAGTTGTCTCTCCCTTAATCCTGATGATAAAAGGGCATTCTAGAAGATGAGCTGCATTAAAAGCTCGGATCTGAATCTATGCAGAACAGCTGTTAATATTTGGCTGTAGACTGCTGCAAAATTATCTTATTTGCAAAGCTTGCCATGTGGGAAGGCAGATAAATGATAACAACATGAACTAGTAGAAGGCAGAAAAGGCTTTATTCTACACATATCTGGGTCTGACTTCAAATTTGATACTGAATATGCAGCTTTGAACATGTATTCATAACCATTCACTCCAAGTATTTCTGCACATGAAGCACTTTAATATGGGGAAAGCAGTACTAAGCTATTTCCCTGTATAACAGTACAGAAACAAATATTTTAACATTCAAGTAGAATAAAATGTTCAGAAAAAAACGGTTGGCAAAAAAAGCGCTGATTTCTAGCAAACGCATTTCCAGCCAAATGAGAAAACCTTCTCCCTGTCAGTCAATCAATCAGTGCATAGTTTATTTTAAGCTGTGATAATATGGCTTTGGAGATTAGGAAACTAGTGAGCTACAAGGAAGATCAAATTAATTTTTCTTGCGTAAAAAAAAATAAAAACCTTCAACAAGTAGACACAAAACTTAACTCTCTCTATCAAGTTCAAAATGGAAAAACTATTCAGAAACCATTCATCCAGGCCTTTGCCCCAGATGTAAAAAAGGAGTACGCTGGGCTGGAGAATGTCGGTCTCTATTTGACAAACACGGAAATCCACTATCACCCAGACCTTTTCACAAAACACAGAATTCGGGAAACGGCTTAACGAGTGCCTAGAGCGGCATGTGGACACAAAAAGCTCTTTTAAGCAATCAAATCTACCCCTCTCAAACAGTTCCCAACAAAAACCCCAAACGGGTGCCTTTAAATTGGAGCTAGCAACTTCAAAACCTCAAACCTTAGAAAAAACAGAGTATCACACGGTGTTATTAGCTTCTGCTTCTTCTCAGGTTTCAGATTTTAAAGGTAAAGGTGTTATCACAGGAACAGATTCTGCAACTGCATTAGGCATTACTGTGTTACCTATGGTTATGAGTCTCCAAGATCCTAAAGTTGTGTCTGTTGTAATTAAACCTAATTTTGTACCCACAGTGATTAATCCAGTGGATCAAATAGCACAGGTCATACCCATAGAGGCAGAAACCCAGATTGAACAGGGAATTTGTATCAATTGGGCTCAAAAGGTTACTCTTGACAGACCTATAATAGAATGTACTCTTCTCTCTCCTAATTCAGGCCAACAGAAATCTGTGTCTGGGTTACTGGACACGGGCGCAGACCTTACCATAATCTCTGCCAAAGATTGGCCCAGCACCTGGGGCACAACAAAGCCAGCTGTCGACATCCAGGGAGTAGGAGGATCCAAAACTCCTCTCCGGAGCATTTTACCACTTCTGGTCCAAGGCCCACAGGGTAAGGTAGCTTCATCTAAACCCTTTATATTGGACATTCCACTATCCTTGTAGGGCAGAGATGTAATAACACAGTGGGGAATTATCTTATCCATTCCAAATTTGTGATGAGGGCCACTGGAGAGCCGCA